GCTGTGTGGGCTGTGTGGCCCACACTGTGGGCTGGTTATTAAACAGGCTTTCGACAAAGAAAAGCTGCATGCCCCTCTGCAGGAGATCCTCGCTCCAGACCTCAATTTGGATCGCTGGCCTGAATTGTACTAGGGTCTACTGTAGCAGTCCGATGACCGAGAACAACTCTGTCCCTTAACACCGGAATGGTATTTCCCCGATGACAAATGGTCGAGTATCTTCTTTTGTCTAATTTACGGACTTGGGACCGGACGGAATGATTTCATAGCCGATCTTAGTGAGTACATGGCCACGCTAGAAAACTTAGAGGGACTGGTTGATACAACTTACTTGGAAAATATAAGAAACGGAGACGTGGACCCGGGAGAGATTGAGCTCTATTCGGCCTCTAAGCTTCTTAACTGGAAGATAGAGGTTAAGACGGTGAACGAAAACTGTTAGGTGGTGTCGAGTTTCAGCTACACTGTGGAAGAACCCGATAAGGGGGTGCAGCTTGTGTGTAGTGGTTCATTTTCTGCTGTCAAGGTAGACGGCTTACTGGTATAGTTTGAGTATTTGCATAAATACACCATTTTTCGTTAGAAAAAGAAATCTTTTGTGTCAGAAATGCAGTTTATAAAAGCTATTGGCCAGCTTTGCAAAACCTCCATTTATATAGCCACCGAGGAAATAAAGACCCGCTACGTTACACACTCGATGTGTCTTCACAGAGACTATTTTGAACTCAGGCCAGTAGCGTAAGTGGGTCAGTCCTTCACCAATATACCAGATTTTAGGACCCACTCGACCAACCTTCAAAGTCGATATATAGTTCGTTTCATAATGCCTGTGATACAATCGCATAAATTGTGTGAGGTTGTAATCCCTGTGCTACAATGCCTAGGCGCTTGCGCGGGGTAAGACGGTAGTGCCTGATTTGTATTTCTTTTGCATCTAAATATATGTACAAGGCAACTCGCAGAATTCTTGTTCTTGATTATGCTGGAGAAAGTATCGCGTCGCGGAAAGGCCAAATCATTTTACTTTACATCTAGCATGCATATATACATTACGTCAGAGCAATCTTGATAGGAAGCATGTTTACGCATAGGCAGTGGTTAAAAATAAATTTGTACTGAGAGGCGGAGCAAGCTCAATTTTACCCTGGACAAGATACTAGAGCACACTCGTCTGCAACACAACATGCTTGATGTCAAGGACGAGGCTAGGTGGGTATGCGTCAACGATTTGGGTCGTACCGGGGGGGGGTATCACGGACAAAACTTTTCACAGCAGGTTTGACAAAACGGAGTAAGAGGCTCAGGCATTGAGCCATTGTTAATCCTCGAAGTTAATGGCGCTCGTCGTAGCTAAGCTGCAACATCGTTCGGGGTGGTGGATGTGAAGAAAACGCACGATGTCGAAATATGTATGTCCAGCGGCGCTGTCCATTATCATTGCGAGGTGCTGCGCTGTCCGTTGCAGCACGTGTACACCTCACTGTCTTACAAGCTGTATGCATCCTTGCACTGGCGTAGGCGGCGCTTGTGTTCACCTCCACACACACACCTCGTTCATGGGTAAGCTGTGACCTTCAGCCTTCGTGCTGTCACCTCGACTAGGAGTCACACACCCCGGTGGGTACAAATGTTATAATTAACATAACAAAATGAGAAGCAATCAATAATAAATGTTGCGTTTGACGTACCTTGTTCGCAAATTACTTTCGGGCTGTCCAGTAGCTGGCATGAAGTGGGTTAATGAACAAAACTTGCATGGTCAGGGGGGGAGGCTCTCATATTACCTGCCTCGCGAGATATATTAAAGCCATTTACAATAGCAATATCAGACAGGCCAGATGACAGGCTTTTGTACTACTTCCGGAAGCACAAGGAGAGCTACAGCGAGTGGTTCTTGATATATTTCTTATCCGGAACGACCAATCTTCTCTCATTGTTTTCATGTGTCTTTTCTCCTTCAGACTTCACTGCTAGGGGCAAGTTGGCTTGATTAGCTTTGGGGAGTTAGACTCGTTGTAGTTCCTACTTGAGGCTTCCCACAGGACAAAACCTTTTCAAGGGGAAAACCCCGTCCTAGAAGAGCCTCCTACTAGCTAAGCAAGGTTTGAAAATAAGAAGAAAAAAATATCGCTGGCAGCCTGGCTGCTTCTTCACGTAAGTTTTGCGCTTCTTGCGCCGGCCGAGCTTTGAGCTCCTGGCGGCAAATCGGCGAATGGCAGGGATTCGCTGTTCGGTCCGGTTCGGAAAACCCGGCTACCTTCTTTGTACTTAACCGAACACTTTCCTCCTTCGGACTTCACTGCTAGGGGCAAGCTGGCTCTATTAGCTTTGGAGAGTTAGACTCGCTGTAGTTCCCCTTCGAGCTGGCACGGTATCTGACGTGGGACGCTGTCTCTTTCGTGATATTCCAACATCGAGGCCTTGATCATCGAACTTGCCGCGTCTCGGATCATTCCTGGTCTGAGACGGGTGTACACTGTGAAGCACCAACTTGACCACCTTCCCATTATACGAATGACTAGGTCACTCATTCCTGCTGTTAGGAGTGCGCATGCTCCCCCTATACGTAGTGAATGGGTTGAGTAATCATTCCTTGGTCGTCCTACGTCGACCGCTGCCGCCTTAGTTAGATAGCTCACGCGTGACTTCTTGATCGTAGCTGTTCTCGAAACTGAGGTAAGTATGGTCCCAACACCTCTCCTTCGGAAAGCCGTTGGGATCGGGTCTGGAGACACGTACGAGCTGCCATTACTGGGTATAGCGTACCGTTGTTGGATAAGTAGTGCCGGATCATGGTGCCTTGCGCAACTTGATCTCGTTCATGGGAGTCGAATATCATCTCCACTGACTCGGCCCCTGGGGCCTCAAGTCCGACCTGAATTCCGTGCTTGTCGCGCAGTGCCACATTGGTGACCTTTACACAATGGACTCCATCCGTTCCTGTCGATCGATCGACGCTGATAGGCTCCCATAGCTCAGAGCTTCTGTCGAGAAAGAAGAACCCTAGTACGATGCATCATTTTGGCTAGTAGGCCAGGCTCTCCTAGGGGTTGTCGCATTTTGAGCAGCATCGGCGTAGTAACTGGCTGTTCCTGTCCACTTGACCCTGGGTCCGTTTGTATCCCTTAGCGACCAGCTCAAATTCCAGATCCTTGAAATTGAGCCTTACGTTCCGAGCGTCTTTGTGTGCGAATGCCACCGCTGCCATTTTCCCGTCAAAGGTATGGTATTGGTTCCCTCGTCCCGTCTTGTTGTGCCCTTCTAAAGCGCACAATGCTGCGAATAGTCCGACCATCGTAGCTTATATTGCCCTGGGCAAATCATCAATCCACACGGGGAATCCAAAGTCGTTACAGAACGACTCCCAAAACTTGAAGTTCTTGCTATATTTCCCGAGTGTTCTGGTTGTGATTGAAGCCTGTTTGAGCTGATCACGTTTTGCCTCCACTCGTCAGATCCGTTTTGTACCTGGTTTATAGCATAAGTGTTAGGGGTTGTGTGTACATCGCAATTTCGAGTCTGCTCCATCCTTCGCCCGTAAGTATGAGTGGAATAGCATAGCCTGTACTGAGCCTGGCTCAGTGCATGGTCCTGCTGTCCGGCTTTTGACTTGCAATACATCCTGCTGACCAAACCGGTGATCCATCTTCTGCCGTGTATGATGCGGCACCAGGTCCCTGTACTCGTTAGCCGGGCCCCATTTATTTACTGCGGTGAATATGGCCCTCGCAATACCTTTGCCGTCCTGGGCGACCCTTCCTCAGTGAGTACAAGGCGCTTTCTTAACCGCATGCTCGTGAGAATAATCACTTGCGGTTTTGTGACTACGAGCCATATCTCTTCGAATCCGTCGTTCTCTTGGAATAGCTCCATTGGCATTCCTGCAAATTCGTTTTGGAAGGCCAGGCCGTTCCACCACGTCAGGTCCTTCCGAAGGAGCTGTGACATCGGCACTCCTATCTTGTTGTTCTTGCTGCAATGGCTCTGAGGCCTCGTTAGTCGCTGGATGAACGGCTTGGTGATCGGGATGAAGCTGATTACATGTCGAAGAACTCCAATCGCACTGTCCAATCTCATTCTTGACACAAACGATTTCCCGAGTGATTCCGTTAGCACCAAGTGGACCTTATCGATTTTTCATTGGGGTATGTTGATGCACCTATCTGGGATGCTCCAGTCGATTCCCACGGCGTGGAAGTTACGCGACCAGGTCGTGAATTTGCCTTCGTGCCAGCCGTCAGACCCGAACACGATCTTTATACCGTCTCTGAGATGCTTCTTTGCTTTCTGTAAGCGATCGCCAATGTCTACCTCGATAAGAACGATGTCGTCCACCCACTGAAATGTCCAGAAGGTTTCAATGTGCCCCAATAAGATTTAGGCACCGGTGCGCTGATTGTGGCGAAAAGCTTTACAGAATACCGCGAAGAGTCCTGGTGAAGATGTCCACCCAAAGACGGCCATGCCTGAGACGATGTCATGGGATGACCGCGACTAGCAGCCCCAAAAGCTGAGGTATGACGAGAGTGCACCGGCACATGATTGAAAGCATCAGCGATATCCGCGACCATGGCGTAGATGCTGTACCCAGGGTACCGTCGGCAGAGCTCGCAGAGTCTGCGGGTGATCGAGACGAATGGATCCCAAGTTGCGTCAGGCGCGGCCTCTAACGCTTAAAAAAACATTTCACGATAGTACTTCGAAGTACATGTAGCTGCTAGAGTGTCCCTTTAGTACTACCTGCTATTGATATTTTAAAAAAATATTGAGCTATATACCTTTCAATCCACCGGTAATATTTTAATTCCGGTACGGTAGAAACCGATCGAAAACATCTGACGTCATGTTTTTCGTGTGGATGAACTTCTGCTCTTCAAGAAGCTTCAAACTTCAGCCTTGCGATCCTATTGCAATTGTACCAGCAGTGGCGTAATCATTCCGCCATTTGCCGGCTTGTGCGTACTTTAGTCTCCGAGGAACCTCGTGACCGCACGTTGACCATGCGCTTCCTCCGCCAGCTGCTGCCCGTCGCCGTGGCGGCTCTATTCGGGTCGTCGGTGGCGTCGGCATCAGAGCCTCGCTGCTTCCCCGAGAAGTTCATGTTTGGCTCGGCTACCGCTTCGTACCAGGTGGAGGGGGCCGTCAAGGAAGGCGGCCGCACTTCCAGTATCTGGGACGATTTCTGCCGTGAAAAACCCGGTATGAAATGTGCCAACGTGGCCGACGACTTCTACCACCGCTACAAGGACGACGTAAAGCTTATGGTCAAGACTGGCCTCGAGTCCTTCCGCTTCTCCGTTTCGTGGTCGCGTGCCATGAACTGGGACCCCGTCACACGTCGCATGAAGCCCAACGCTGAAGGTATCGCTTGGTACCACAACCTCATCGACGAGCTAAACGCTAATAGCATCGTACCGATCCTGACCATCTACCACTGGGACCTGCCCAGCGAATTGCAAACGGAGTTGGAGCCCAAGGGCTGGCTCAACTCGGAGATCGTCGACCACTTTCTTGAGTACTCGACTCTGCTCTTCAACGAGTACGGCAGCAAAGTTCAGCTCTGGACGACGTTCAACGAGCCTCTGTCTTTCGTTGGTGCAGGTTATGGCCTGGGGATGCACGCTCCCGGATACTCAGGCTCGGACACGCAGGCGTACACAGCCTCCCGGAACGTACTTCTGTCCCACGGTAAGGCCGTACAGAAGTTCCGCGAGCTCAAGACTAGCAGTGTTATCGGCGAAAACGCTCGCATCGGTATTGTGCTAGTGTCCAACTGGTACTACCCCTTGGACCCCAACAATGAGCGCGATGTTGCTGCTGCCAAGCGTGCGTTCGACTTCGATTTCGGCTGGTTCCTGAACCCCATCGTGAACGGCGACTACCCGGCTGTCATGCGCGAGCGTGCTGGTGACCGTCTTCCTAAGTTCACGGCAGAGGAGTCTGCTCTACTCAAGGGCTCGTACGACATCTTTATGATGAACCACTACGCGTCGCGTGCCATCACAGACTGTGACTCGGACCGCTCGAACACGCCGTGCTCGACCCTTTTAGCTGGTTACCCAGCGGACAAGGGAGTAGACGACAGCCACCTCATGCCTGGCACGCGTGCCGGCGTCCCGGATCGTTTCGGTAACAACTACTGCAAAATGTTCACCGGTTATCCGCCCGGATACCTCGATATGATGCGCTATCTGCACAAGCAAAACACCACGGTCGACATTCTACTGACGGAGAACGGATGGTGTGGAAACGATGACGTGGACAATTACGACCAATTGTGGTACTTTAAAGCGTTCGTTGAGCAGGTGCACAAGGCCGTCGTGGAGGAAAAGATCCCCGTCATTGGATATACAGCGTGGTCGTTCCTGGACAACTACGAGTGGGGCTCTTACGGCCCGCGGTTTGGCATGTACTACGTCAACTTTACGGAACAGACGGGATCTCCAAATTTCTACGAGCCCAAGCCTACGGACCTGGCTCGCATTCCTCGTCCGTCGGCTAGATGGCTCAACAAGGTGGCTACGACCAAGTGTCTGGATGGATGGAGTGACGTTAGCAACATCAAGGCTCATTCGACCTCGCACGAGAGCAAGACGTCGATCTTTGGAATTGTGTTCGGAATCGTCGCCCTCGTTGCGGTTGTGATTGGGATTGCTGTGGTGGTTGTGTATCGTCGTCGCCGTAGCGGCTACGAGCCTCTCTTGTCTCGCAATTAGGTGGCACCGCTATGAACTCGTCACGGCTGATGATAAACGAATGAAGCGTTAGAACCAGTATTCAAGTCGAGTTATCATTGATACTATAATATCAAAATTGAAAGGCAAAAACTTGCTTACTAAATACTGTAGTACTACAGTAGTACTTCAGTAGTACTATGTGTATGTAGTGTATAAAAGGCCTGCTTTTTTTGTTTTGGAATCGACTGGGAGAAGTTCCACCTGTACTCCTATCGACTACATGTATCACATCGATTCGATACGAGGCGTTCAGTACTACTACGTAGTAAATGTCCTGCTACTGCTGTCGTATCTTACGACTACTACGTACATGTAGTATTATTGTAGTGTTGGCACATAAATTAATATTTTCTCGGTGAAAGTCGCTGTCATACAGTACATGTAATTGAGATTGAGCTTCCGAGCTTCTTCGTTCGACACTTCCGTTTGGCGCAAACATGAAGAAGCGTAAGCACTGGGAATACAGTGCATGTACACGTACCATTAGGCAACCACTAGATATCACCGAACTTTACGTTTCGGCACACCAACTGCGTGAAACCACAGCAAAATTAAAAATAAAACATAGCTTATCTGGTATACACAGCACATTGCAGATTCACACATAGGAATGTCGACCAACACACACAAAGTGGGTCCCACCACAGAAAGACATAAAAGATGTGGCATTGGCTGGCTCTACATGTACAGAGTCTGACAGTGCCAAAACAAATTCAGCAAATAGTGACTTGTCATTCATTGAAGGCTTCTCCAGGTCACGGGTCGGAGATATGCCTAAGAAGCTTGAGTGGAGAGAGCTGGCCGTCTCGTTGGCCGAGGAGGAAGGGCATGAACTACTGGACTCGGGAAAGGCTACTCGTGTTACCAAGGCTAACATGACCTCATGCACTATCTGCGCGGACCCGACCAAGCATACAATGAAGTATCAATTACTGTGGTGTAAGTCAAAGCATGCCAAATAGCAGACTCCGGCGTGAGCTGTGGATGGAGAGGAAATTTTTTGACGTGCACGGTGACGCGAATGATGGATTTGTATGAGATTGGCACTCCTTTTTCGGTGGCGAGGTCACCCCGCGAAGCAGGACTGATGCGACAGCAAAAGCTCTTTTGCCAGGAGCTCGTATCATACCGATTGAAACCGGTTCGTATTCGGAACGCTCTTAGAAAAAAGTATGGGCTGGAGGGAGAGAGGCTACCACGTCTTTCGCGCGATTCAGAACTTTGTCAACTACTATTCCAAACGCAGCTTGGCTACAACGACGAGCACGAAGATATTACGAGTGCGGTGCGAGATCTGGCTTACAAAACCTCAAAAGGTGACTCAGCTCCAATCACGTTTACTTAAAGTAAAACAACTGATGGCGACCTCATCGTTGGTGACGGCTCGGATGAGGAACCATTTATTGTGGGGCTGACTACCAGAAATTTGCTACGACTCATGGACCGTGACCTAGGAACTTTTATATTCCACATCGATGCTACTTTCAAGCTCTCCCAGGTCGGCTATCCTGTGCTCGTAATCGATATTTCGGATCGCGCGCGAAAGTTTCACCTGGTGGCGTTCTGTATAATCTCGCATCGAGTGGAGAGTGTGTACGCAATGGCGCTGCTCGCGTTCCGGTTGATTTTCGCAGAGGTCATTGGAAAGAAAGTTCGACTGAAGTTCGTTATGGGAGACGCGGAGGATGGACAGCTAAACGCTCTGGAGCAGGTTTTTCGATTCGACTCAGATTTTGTGTTTCTAATGTGTGTTTTTCACGTCATGAAGAAGGTGCAGGAGAAAACCAGGCATCTTCCTGATAGTGTGGCAAATAATGTATTAGCGCAGATTTACGATATGCACTTTTCGGCTACGCTTGGCGAACTGGCTAAAGTGACGCAGTTTTACCTTGGGCAATGGAGTTCTCGAAGTGATATTGCCCCATTCGCTGCCTATTTCACGAAGCAGTGGCTAAGCACGCGGTATTCGAAATGGCAGTGTTGTTATCTAGAGCCTGGATATGCAACTACCAACAATCCTGTGGAGCAATTCAATCGAATCATTAAGCGCGACTACACCTTGAGAGCGCGTCTGAAAATGGGCATGTTGATTAAAGTGCTCTCTGAGTGCTGTACGAACGAGTCGCAGGAAGCACGGCTCTTTCATCTGAATCCTGAACCAACAACATCACTTCTACGTCGAGCCAAGCAACTGGGAAGTGACAAATTGCTGCAAGTTAATCCACAGCTTACCGGGAGTCCGAACTCTAACCTAATTCGAGTAGTCTCGCAACCGGCACCCCGGTTCTACATTCCATCCAAGAAGAGAACGGAAGAGTATCTAGCTGTAACAGCTCAGATGGGATGGAATTACGCGCGTATGGAATATATGGGGCAACCCATGGAGGGTTGGCTTGTTGATGTGGCGTCGGGATGGTGCCGGTGCAAGTATTGGGGAAAGTTTGGCTCTTGCATTCACTTACTCCATGCCCGACTGGCATCTCACCGCGTAAACAGCCAGGGAAGGAGAATTTTAGTGAACAGAAACATCGTGCGGAAGAATAAATCGACGTATGCTGAATCCGGTAACACTCTAGCAGGCCGACCACTACTCAACAGAGGTCCGCTCATGTTGGAGTAGTGTTCTGGAGTACCCCTCACCTTGAATACTGATGTTGGTGGTCAATGGAATGTGTCATTTAGGTGGTTAGCTGTATTCCGACATTATCGGACTGCGGGTTTTCCAACTACATAACAATAGAAGCCGCTTGGCGTTGACGTTTAGACACCTTTCTCATTTGTAGGGTATTCCTTGTTTCGTTCGTCTAGCATGCATCATGTTGCTCCGGAAACAAGTCATGGCTGAGCTTTAAGAGACTTTTTTTAAGGGCATCAGCCTTCGATAGTTGTTTTCTCCTCGCTCTCTGTCTTTTCCGCAGCTCTTCAGCTTCACGCATACGTCTGGCGTACTCATTATACATGCGCTTCAGTAGTAAGCTATGTGGAGCACCACAAAGCTGGATCTCAGTATCATGCAGGCTCATTTGTATCAACTCAAAGGTGTCCTTAGGATCTTCGTCATCGCTGTCTGAGGAAACCCCGTCGCGTGGCGTCTGCCAAAATGACTTACGAGCTTCTATTTAGGGTTGCTGGTCTTGGTACTGTGTACCAGTTGTACCCATTAACCGGTCAACCTGAACCGGTCCAATACGATCCCGCTGTGATTATGGTACGTTGTTTATGCCACCCATAATTGGACGAGTAGAATGATTGGACGAGTACAGAATGATTGGATGAGTAGAATGATTGGATGACCTAGGTAGTGAGGACAGTGTAAGCCCCGATAAATCAATCACTTTCGAATCTTCCTTCTTCCGCTCAAGTGCCTTCACTCCGGTCTCCGCACCAAGTGCAGAAGTCACTCCGTTCAGTCCCAAGCTTCGTTCCAACACCTCTACACCATTAACAGGTTATGAGCCCAAGCACCATGTCCTCTGCCCATGACGCCTCGACCAAGGTCACCATCGACAAGTTCAACGGTGACAACTACGCGACGTGGAACCGCTACATGCGTGGCGTGTTTCTGACCAAGTCGGTATGGCACGTAGTGAACCGGGAAACGACGCCGAGCTTCACGGACATTCGTACCAAGGACGACTACGTCAAGGCGAGCAACATTGCGTTCGGACTGATGTTGCTCCACATGAACGCGGACTACCATCACGTAGTTGATGACTGCGAGGAAGCGTGGGGCGCGTGGACGCGCTTGAAGACGCTGTATGGTGGGTCGCAGAAGGCTGGTCGCATCTACCTGAAGCCTGCCAACTCCTGCCAGCTCTTCAGCATGGAGATGTCGGAAGGCGGCAATGTCTTGCATCATTGCAACGAGGTCCTCAACATCAGCGCCAAGCTCAGCAGCATCGGCGCCAAGATGGAGGACGAGGACGTGGCGATCTGCTTACTGCGAAGTCTCCCCAAGAGCTACGAGAACGTCGTGCTCGATCTGGAGATGAGCAACGCAGAGCTGCGGTCGCAAGACGTTGTGAAAGTGCTCACAAACGAGCACATCAAGCGACAAGGTGAGAAGACGGCGACGGTGAAGACTGAAAACGCGGCCAAGGCGTTCAACACCGACCGAGAGTCTCGCCAATGCACGTACTGCGGGAAATTGGGGCACATGATTGACAAGTGCTGGACCAAGCAGAAGGATGAGGGTCGAGGTGCTCGACGCGGCGGCAACGGCCGTGGACGCGGAGCTAACAACATCCAGTGGCGAAACGACGGCGACGACGACTACGACTACGATCGAGTAGCGTTCGCGGTTTCCCTGGAATGTGGAGTATCGACGAACAAGAATGTGTCTGGAATGTGGGCGGTCGACAGTGGTGCCACACACCACATCTGTAGCGACAAGTCCAAGTTCGCCAATCTCATCGAGCGCAATGAAGGCGAACTTTCGGTGGCCGACGGGAACAAGGCGGCTATCAAGGGTGTGGGGACCATCGTGGAAAGAGTGGTCCTGCCCAACGGCACCGAGCGCGAGATCGAGATCAAGAACGCGCTCTATGTGCCTAACATGAGCAAGAATCTGCTTTCAGTACCGCAGATCAACAAGAACGGAAAGTTTCAGGTGGTGTTCGATGGCACTGAGATGCACATCTCACGCAAGGACTCGAATCAAGTGGTGGCATCGGCGGATCTCGTAGATGGACTCTACTGGCTTCGCACGCCTCTTCGATCAGCAAATGCGGCGACAACTGGAAGGACGGTCGACCTGCATGCGCGTATGGGTCACGCTCCAGTCGAGGTGCTTCGCAAGATGGTCGACAACAAGATGATCAAGGACGCGAAAGCACCTTCCAAGCCTAGCGGACCAAGTCTGTGTCGCGGCTGCCAGCAAGGCAAGATGGTCCAAAAACCATTCCCTAGCAACCGTGACAAGCGTCGTTACGACACCTTCGAGTTGCTTCACTTCGACATTTGCGGACCCATGGAGAAAG